CGCGCCTTCGAAGAGTAGCCACATAATTTTATGCTAGTGCTCCTCCAATGTTCTTGTCCCAGGAGTCCGCCCCCCCCCCATACGAAGGTTGGCTTATTTTCCTATCTCTCTATGAGTTCTCCCTTACAATTAGTCCTGCCCCCTTATCTCACCCGGAGTTTTTTAATCATGCGGCCCGCCCTTTGTCTTTCTGTCATTATGCTTTAGTTTTGTGTATAATGTTTTATATACTTTGATGTTTTATATTTTAATGTTATGTTTTTTTATTTTATTGCAATGTGTATTGTTATATTGTAATTCTTGTTTGGGCTTGGCGCCATGTAAGCCGCTCCGAGTCCCTTTTGGGGAGATGGTGGCGGGGTACAAATAAAGTTTATTATTATTATTATTATTATTATTATTATTATTATTATTATTAAACATATTACAAACACATAAAATAAAGTGACCAAGCCAATTTTCTGTGATAGGGAGTTCACCTCCGAGATGGCTCCATTTCTTGATATTAATGTTTAAGTATGTTCCTGTGTGTCTGCATGTCTCTAAATATTTTATGTCAGATGTTTATGGTGTTTATATGACAGTGTTCTATGTTCTTATATCAAACTAGCTGTGCCCTGCCACGCGTTGCTGTGGCCTATAGTAAAACTTATCAAAGTTGAGGTAGATATCTGGACTATTATGAAAGAGAGGTACCTACCTATTCCTTCCCCCTTTTCCTCCCCCTTTCTCTCCTTTCTTCCTTCTCTACCTCTTTCTTTCTTTCCTTCTTTCACTACTTGGTTTCATCCTTCTCTCTTTCCTTCATTCCCTCCCCCTTCCTTCCTTTGCCTTTCTTCCCTCCCTGTTTGCTTCCTTCTTTCACTTTTTATTTCCTTTTATTTCACCACCATCATAACAATAACAATAATGCAATGCATTGCCTCTGGGACCTGACACCTCTCCCATTCCCCCTAAAAGGGTCTCATAGGAACAATAGCATCATAATAATAATAGAAATAACAACCTTTACCCGCCACGTGTTGCTGTGGCCAACCTTCCCTCTTTCTCTCCTTCTTTCCTTCCTTCCTTCCTTCCCTCCCATCTTTCCTTCTCCTCTTCCTTCTCTATCTCTTTCCTTCCTTCCCCCTTTTTCTTTCTCTTCTGGTCTCTTTTCTTCCTTCTCTCTTTCCTTCTTTCCTTCCCTCCCTCTTTCTCTACATCTTCCCCCTTCCTTCACTCCCTCTTTCCTTCCTTCCTTCCCTTTTTTCTTTTCCTTCCTTCCTTCCCCCTTTTCTTTCCCTCCCTCTGTCTCTCATTTCTTCCTTCTCTACCTCTTTCCTTCCTTCCCCCTTTTTCTTTCTCTTCTGCTGTCTCTCTTTTCTTTCCTTCCATCTTTCCTTTTCTTTCCTTTTCTTCTTCCTTCTTTCTCTAACTTTCCTTCCTTCCCCCTTTTTCTTTACCTCCCTTTCTCTTTCTTCCTTCTTTCCTTCCTTCCTGTCTTTCCTGGATTTTGACAGGGCGGGAAGGGGCGGGGTGGGGTTTGGAGGTGGCGTGAAGTAAAAGGAGGTAAGATTGGGGCAGGGGAGTGATGGAGCGTGGGGTTGTGTGTGTGTGTGGCGGCGGGGGGAGTGATGGAGCGTGGGGTTGCGTGTGTGTGTGCGGCGGGGGGGGAGTGGGGTTGCGTGTGTGTGCGGCGGTGGGGGGAGTGATGGAGCGTGGGGTTGCGTGTGTGTGTGCGGCAGCGGGGGGAGTGGGGTTGCGTGTGTGTGTGTGGCGGGGGGGAGTGATGGAGCGTGGGGTTGCATGTGTGTGTGCGGCAGCGGGGGGGAGTGGGGTTGCGCGTGTGTGTGCGGTGGGGGGAGTGATGGAGCGTGGGGTTGCGTGTGTGTGTGTGCGGCGGGGGGAGTGATGGAGCGTGGGGTTGTGTGTGTGCGTGCGGCAGGGGGGGTGTGCGGGAAGCGGCGCGGTGGGGCTTGGAGTGGGCATGGCTTCCGCAGAGGGAACTGTGTGCGCGCGCCAGGGAACTTGCGGCTGGGCACCAATGCGCATGCTCAGTTGTTTTGCCGTTTTGTGAGTGTGTTGTGTGTTGTTTTTCATTTTGAGTAGATATGTTTGTACCTTATGGGTTGTGTTATGGGCATGGGAATTTTGGTTAAGTTTCGTTGGGGGGTTTGTGAGTTTTGTTGTTTTGCCATTTTGTGAGTGTGTTGTTGTGTTGTTTTTCATTTTGAGTAGATATGTTTGTACCTTGTGGGTTGTGTTATGGGCATGGGAATTTTGGTTAAGTTTTGTTGGTTTTTTTTTAGTTTTGTTGTTTTGCCGTTTTGTGAGTGTGTTGTTGTGTTGTTTTTCATTTTGAGTAGATATGTTTGTACCTTGTGGGTTGTGTTATGGGCATGGGAATTTTGGTTAAGTTTCGTTGGGGTTTTTTTTGAGTTTTGTTGTTTTGCCGTTTTGTGAGTGTGTTGTTGTGTTGTTTTTCATTTTGAGTAGATATGTTTGTACCTTGTGGGTTGTGTTATGGGCATGGGAATTTTGGTTAAGTTTCGTTGGTTTTTTTTGAGTTTTGTTGTTTTGCCATTTTGTGAGTGTGTTGTTGTGTTGTTTTTCATTTTGAGTAGATATGTTTGTACCTTGTGGGTTGTGTTATGGGCATGGGAATTTTGGTTAAGTTTCGTTGGGGTTTTTTTGAGTTTTGTTGTTTTGCCGTTTTGTGAGTGTGTTGTTGTGTTGTTTTTCATTTTGAGTAGATATGTTTGTACCTTGTGGGTTGTGTTATGGGCATGGGAATTTTGGTTAAGTTTCGTTGGGTTTTTTTGAGTTTTGTTGTTTTGCCGTTTTGTGAGTGTGTTGTTGTGTTGTTTTTCATTTTGAGTAGATATGTTTGTACCTTGTGGGTTGTGTTATGGGCATGGCAATTTTGGTTAAGTTTCGTTTGGGGTTTTTTGAGTTTTGCTGTTTTGTGAGTGTGTTGTGTTGTTTTTCATTTTGAGTAGATATGTTTGTACCTTGTGGGTTGTGTTATGGGCATGGCAATTTTGGTTAAGTTTCGTTGGGGTTTTTTTGAGTTTTGTTGTTTTGCCGTTTTGTGAGTGTGTTGTTGTGTTTCATTTTGAGTAGACATGTTTGTACCTTGTGGGTTGTGTTACGGGCATGGGAATTTTGGTTAAGTTTCGTTGGGGGGTTTTTGAGTTTTGTTGTTTTGCCGTTTTGTGAGTGTGTTGTTGTGTTGTTTTTCATTTTGAGTAGATATGTTTGTACCTTGTGGGTTGTGTTATGGGCATGGCAATTTTGGTACAGTTTCGTTGGGGGGTTGTGGAGTTTTGCTGTCCGGTTGAACCAACCTAACAGATTTATATATATAGATGAAAGTCATACACACATTTTAAGAAAATAGCACTGCCTAACAGAAGGGCTAGAAGACTGCTTGGCTGCTTGCCATTAAGGCGAGCCATCCTACTACCCTAATCCCTCCTTGATCAATTTTTGTGATGGTGCCTACTAATATTCCTGCTCATGTAGCATAATGTATCTGGTTTCTTTTGTCATACTTTCAAGGGCAGGGGCAACAAACATCGCCTTTTCCCATTAGTGAAATGAGCACCCTAATTACCTTGCGTCTCATATTGTAAGAATTAATGTTTGTAAACTCTTTCAAGAGGCTTAGATTAAAGATGCTATACAAGTGGTAAGAATTATTCTTGAAAATGATGAGTTGGGTTTCTGTAACAAGGCAAAACATGACAAGAATTCCAACAGTGAACTGTAATCACTTGAAGTGCATCTGCTGGGGTGCTAAAGAATATTAATGTGATTTCTTAGGGAATGAAGGCAAGCTCCGCATCCGTATAGTGCATTATCTCTCTGTTAGTAGTGTTCAAGACAATAAAATTTAGTTGCCTTAAGAAGTGTGATGAATTTTAAGTTAAAATTCCTATATTCATGCATGTTCTTCTCTGTGCTCATGCATGATGAGCACAGAGCAAAAAGAACATTTCATTTAATGAAAATATAGAAGTAAATAATATAGAAGCTAGGTGTAACAAACTGTCCTACCTTGCAGGACCAGTGTTAGCTCTTTAAGAGGCCCAACAGCTAGGCATCCATTTTGTGGAGAAGCCAGCAGACATCCATCTTGTGCACACATTGCCAGAAGGGGGCGGAGCCAGAAGGCAGCCTGGAGGAATGTGTAGTGCCACCTGATTGGATGGGAGTCCTAGAGGAAAGGTGGGCGGAGCTTGGTCAAGAGAAGAAAAAAAGGGAACCTTGAGGGAATTTTTAAAAATCTGACAGTTTGAGCTATGAGTCAGTTAGGGAGAAGGAGTTAGCAGTTGTGGAGAAAGAGTTTGGCAGTAGTTTTAAAACAGATCCTGAAATTGGGTTGTTTGGGAATAAGGAACTATTTAGTTAGAGACTAATAGTTTCTTGTGTATTTTAAAGGTTGACTGGAACCTAAAGTTTTACGTGTTGAACAGCTTTTCAGTAACCATTAAGCTCTGTACCAATCTGCAACCATTAAGATTTCAATGCCTGTTCCCAGTAAACAAACATTTTTCTTTGTTATTATTAAGACAACGCCTCTGTGTGCCTCTCTTATAATCCATCCCCATACAGAAGATTGGGGAAGTGTTTACAATATTGGTGGCAGCCCTACTTTAAAGATTTGTGTTTTGCCTTTTGCTCTGGTAGAATGCTTTATAGTAGGTATAGTTAGAAAATAATTGCTAAGAAGAGTTTGAGAGAATTTGTCCCCACCCATACTGTACTTTAAATTTCTTCTGCACTACAAGAGAGCTGTAGGAAGCAAGCTCCATTTATTTATCTGCCCCTTAAATGATGATTTCATGGTTGGTTTTTATCATTAAAACAATCTACACATTTGACTTTGCACTGCATGCAGAATACATTTCTAGTGCACTCCCCACAATCATATCTGTATTGGTAGTAGTTTTCTTGTTTGTGATCTTGCACCAAAATAATTTAATTCTTACTTCATTTCTTCTATGTTTTTTAAACAGGCCAGTTCTATGATAGCTGTTGGTCTTGGCGTTGCAGCTGTTGCTTTTGCAGGTAAGTGTAATGATTGTATGTGTGTTTCATAATAGATAAGCTCTATGATAATGTACTATGTTTCATTCGGGAGAGGTTTCTGAACCTGAAGAATTGGATGTAAAATATGTGTTCTGGCACTGAGCTATATTAGAAGGTGAAGCTCTGTGCAGAGTGTAATATGATACAATACAGTCTAATAATTCAGATGATGCTTTTCTTTTAAAACATTCTGTTCCTATTTTTTGACTTAAACCATTTGGCATATGCCCTCATCACCTTTTTGTCCCCATGTTGGTTCTTCAGTTCTGTACTGGCTGGACCCATCTTGCAAAGAAGGTGTTTGATGGAGCAACATTGGCATGCTGGAGTACATCTTTGTGGTAGACTGTTCAGAGCTGGCTTTATGTCTTACGCTTCAAGACTGTTGAAGGAAAATTACATTTAGGAAATGTTCAAACTTCTAGAACAGTGCTATTTCAGCTGCTGTTATGAGAATGATGTTTTGCATAGAGCCTTTTTTATTTACCTAGGGGATAGGCATTGGGTTTGCCAAATAAAGGTTTTGCCTTAGTGGGGAGTACATCTGGTTATATAACTCACAGCATCAAATTTTTACTGATCTTCCTGTCCATCTATTATACTTCTTTGCCCTGTGTCTTAATCTATGCTGAAAGGGCTACACTGGTAGCTTTTCAAGGAGGAATGGAATCTTAACTTTTAGATATGGAGAGCTTCCACTTTGGCAAGTGAACATGCTTTCTGCAAAGGTATGCTCATTCTCCAACAGCATTCTTTTACTGCATTGACTGGTCCACCTCTTAGATATTCATCTGGGTAGCAGAAGCAGAACATACTAGATATTCATCTGGGTAGCATCTGGGTACAGACCACACTGCACTCGCAAAGGCCAAAGCTGAAGAGGTCTTCGGCTTCTTTTAGAACTCTGCTTGCAACTGTTGTTCAGAGATTATTTAGTCAGTTGTTTTTTAAAAATCCGTCATTTCTGTTGACTGTGACTGCTTTTGGAGGGAGGGGGAGGTAAAGGAGAAGGTTGGTTAAATACACTAGGCCCACATATTATACTAGAAGTCTTTTATGGTACCCTTGCACAGTATGGTTTTTATGTAACATCTGGACACTCCCCCCAAGTAACATCTGGATACCCCCCCCCCCCCACTCACCTGGTGGTCACAGAGAGGAGAGTAGATGAAAGGAAGACTCACCTGTTTGGAGGGAGGCAGTCTTCCCATCTCATCTCTCCCCAGATTCCAAATCCTACCAGGAAGTGTGGTTGTGCAAAGCCATATATTTTCTTCTGGTGAGAGAAACTACTAAAACCAATTTGCTTTGCTTTTCCAAGAGAAAGAAGTCTGTTTACTTTCTCTGCGAAGAGAAGTTACTGAAGTTGCATTTCTCTCTGAAGAGAAATAAGGCCACCTTCTTTCTCGGCAGAGAAAGAAAGGAGAAAAACCCCTCTACCACTGAGGGGATTTTCCGGAAAAGTGGCTGCTTTTGGGAACAAATCATGTTACTGAAATCAGCTATCTACCACAAGGAGGCAGCCTGACACCCTGTGCTGCTTTGACAGCCAGGAAAAATGTACCTGGGTTTGAAACCTGTAACAGAAATTTTATTCATCTGGCCAGATGGCTGTCAGAACATCAGAATCACTCCAAAGAACCGACATAATATATAATTCACTGCAAAGCATTTTATTCTCTGTGGCAGCCATTCAGAAGACTAACTCCTTCTCTTGATTGGCCCAGGAATGGTTGAGCTAGGATCTGAGCTGTCACTGGCTAGGGACTCCCTGTGATGTCAGAGATGGATAAAGTCTCCCTTGTGGTGGGAAAAATTGAGAGTTGCTAATTGTCCATTTGAAGTGGGAGCCATTTGGAAGATCCTCCCAGGAGAAAAAGGGCAAAACTAAGGAAAAGTGAGAAATAGTCCCGAATGGAGATTATGGGTTTACAATAGAAGCCAGACTCAGTGACAAAAGACAAATCTTATGCAAATATAGACACTGAATAAGAAACATATAACACAGTACAGATTTCACTGAGGCACATATCTCATCTGAAATTTCTGAAACACCTGGATGACTTTCTTGGAATCTGGCCTTATTTACATCTCTAAAGAGGCCTTGCTTCCCTGAGGGGATTCTCTCTCAGCTGGATATCAGGCTGGCTTTCTGGATGTTCAACCCTCTCCCACCGCAGCAGTTTCACCAGCTCATATATTTTATCATGTTTCTTTGGGTGCCTGGGAATATGTCTATGGTTGCATCCCAGTTTTTGTGTATATGTATGTGAGTCTTCTCGCCCCTCTGTTTATTAACAAACCATAAACCTGAATCAAGACACAGGAGAAGCTTTAAAATGTTTTGTCAAGGCAAACTCAAGATTTTCATTGCACTTTGCTTTTATATTTTGTAAATAATTACTTGAATTTGAGCACCTCACTACTATCTCATGTTCCTCCTTTCTGCTTCACGCTCACGCTGTCTAGCCCCAGTCTATTTCTACAAGAAAGAAACCTAAATGTCTATGACTGACAGGCTGAATAAAGATTTGATAGATTGTAGGCAAACTAGGACAGTTACATTTCATGAGATTTAAATGAAATGCATATGTTCAGTAGGAAGAATGCAACTGTACGTATTTGGAAAATGATAATACTTATACAAGGTATTCACATGGAAATGTTTTGTACAGGGTGGGTCAGCAGTCACAAAGGGGCCTCGATATTTAATAATGTATTTTGGGTTTTTAATTTACAATACCATAGCATCATATACAGTATATTAAGAAATAAAATGATATTATATAAAATTCTGCAAATAGCATTTTTAAAAGTTATTAAAACATCAGGCACCTTTGTGACTTTCAGTCCATCCTATATAAGTTACAGGTTAAATTGAACCAGTTCAGAGATTAGTTGTTAAGCTAATATTTCTATATTCAGAGAGTTAAATATTAGCCAAGTTAGTCTTGGTGAAATACTTACATAGTCTCATTAAAGTGTTTACATTTAAAAAAAACACCTAAAATTTGGAAGCCCCTCCATCCTAGCATTGTATTTTGAAAACACTGGAAAAACCGGATTAATGAATATTTCCTTTTAAAACCATGAATAGAATATATCGGACAAAATGTCTCTATATTTACACCCCACAAATTATTTCTAAAAACTAAACAACAGGTAGACTTTAATAAAAGACTGCATACATTATTTCACCCCATTGCAATTCATGGCCTTACTTTAGCTTTCTCAGCTCGCTTTATGGGAATGAGTACTTTATTGCTTGCTTGGCAATATAGAGACAAAATAATTGCTTTTGTTTTATTAATGTTGATGGCTTCTTCTGTTTTTTATTAGGTTTTAAAAATCTGCTCCTTATAAACATTCAGAACCAAAGAGATTTCTTATAGCATTGGTATTCTTTACAGTTCAGGACCTCATGACTCCGTATGTAAGAATTTGTTTCTAAAATAATCATTTTAATACTAATAATAACAATAATAATGCTCTATATCCCCAGAGGGACTAAGGGCAGCTTACAACAAAGTAAAACACAGTGGTAAACATTCAATGCCAAGAGTAATATATAACAAGTCAAAAACAAGGTAAAGAAACATGATAAATTAGTGACTTAAGTAAACATGACATAGTACATTCACTCTTTTACCACATATTAAATTCTTTAAAACTCTTAAAATCAACTAAAATTATTGGAATTCAAGTGGTATATGGCAGACTAACGAAGGTAGGTGTTCAACAACTAGGCAGGATATACGTATAAGGTGTAATTAGTCCTCCTCCTCTACATAGGCTAAAGTGTATAGATAAGTTTTAGGAACTTATTAGAGGAGAAAAGGGGCCATTTTTTGTTCTTCTGAGACGGGAAGCTCTTTTGTCCCCACCAGCTGCACTTGAGACAGGGCAGGGACCAAGAGGAGGGCCTCCTCTGCAAACTGCAGCGCTCGTGGTTTGTATAGAGAAATGCAGTTTTGGCTTTATAGGTAATGACTAGCACTTTGTATTTGGCCTGGAAGCAGACTGGCAGCCAGTGGAGCTGCTGCAACATAGAAATTGTCCACTCCCTATACGGCACTTCAGTTAGTAATATGGCTGCTGATCTCTCAACCAGTTGCAACTTCCGAACTATCTTCAGGGGCAGCTCCACATAGAGAGCATTGCTGTAATCCAGGAGGGATGTGATTAAGGCGTAGTCTACCATGGCCAGATCTGACATCTCAAGATATGGGCGCAGCTGGCACACAAGTTTTAATTGTGCAAAGACAATCCTGGCCACTGCTAACACCTGGGATTCCAGTATCAGCAATGAATCCAGGATCACCCCCAGACAGCGGACCTATGTCTTCAGGGGGAGTGTGACCCCCTCCAATACAGGCTGTAATGCCACACACTGGTCCGCCTTCCGACTGATCAGGCGTAGCTCTGTTTTGTCTGGATTTAGCTTTAACTTATTAGCCTCATCCAGTCCATCACTGATAACAGGCACTAGTTTAGGAGCAGAATGGCATCCTTGGCATTCAGTGGAAAGGAGTAATCAATTTAATAAGAGTTGGGTGTCATTCACAGAAATTTGACTCCGAACTCCAAAACTCCAGATGATCTCTCCCAGTGGTTTCATGTAATTATTTGTAATTATTTTTCAAGTAAATTGTCCTTGTAAGATATCATGATACTTTTATCACATATGAAAATTATACACAACATATTTAATGCTATATGTAACGGATTGGACTACCCTAAAGAGTTGGTGTGTAAAGGGTTGGTTTTAAAGGCAGAAGCCAGGCCAGCTTGCTGAAGCTAAGCAAGAGCTGAAGGGATGGAGCAATTAGGCAGCATCTAAGACAGAAGTGCAGTCTGATTGGCTGATAGAATTGGAGGGAAAAGCTCAGAAGCTGGAGATAGGCGTAGCCAGAGCAAAAGACAGCAGCCATTTTAAGATCAGTTAGGGAACTGGTGGTGAAGAAGGAGGAGGAGCTAGG